TGGGAAGAGATACATTGATAATAATATGTTCTTGCAGTAAAAAGCATACATACTCAAGGAAATCAATTGCAGAAGTGTGACTTCACATCGTTGAAGATAACATCGAGTCTGCCTTCAAAAAAGCCCTTCCTGCAGAATATCAAAACTCACTGCTTCCAAGAAATTAAATGTAAAATTCTCCATCTCCATCCAAGGTTGGAAGTACAGATTAATTGAGCAGAGAGTGCATACTGCCTTTTTTTCTATAAATAACAGAACAGTTTCAGAGTTCACAGAGACCCACTTCTTACAAGTTTGCATGAAGAGCAAGAATACGAAGCCTCCAGAATTGGGAAGTGAAGGAGAGAGAAAAGGGAAGTCTCATGTTTTTAATGGAATCAAGAACTACGAAATAGGAACAAGGTATTTTACAGTTTAATATTAGAGGCAATGAGAATTGGAAAGTAAAAGTCAAAACTGAAGTGTTAATGGCATTCTCTATATCAAAAGTATGAACAATGTTAGTGCAGTCTTGAGTAAAAAGAGGAAGAAAAAGATAACTTTGTAAGGAACTACATTTACATTTCTGTAGAAATTAATTTATTGTAGAGCATGTCAAATTGAGGGGTAACGTTACTTCGAACCAAGGGGTTTGATTCGAACTAATGCGTCCCAGAGCTCACTTCCTGGTTCGAATCAGCTGTTGAGCGCAATAACGTGCAGGCAAGATTTTGCTAATGAAGTGCGGGATATTTAAATTCCCCTTTCATTAGCAATTTTGGTCGGCTTCATTTGCATCCCTAGCTCAAACTAGGGAGCAAGCATAGACGTACCCTTATTTAAACCATTTTTATACCAACATGACACCCTTGTCTTCAGTGGAATGACACCTGAATTATCTCACCCAAATACACCTTAACTATACTAGTTTAGGTGCAGATGCTCAAATTAAGCCCCTTCCAGCCCTATGTCAGTCCTTTTATTTCAATAAACTCATTAGCTATTAGTGTTTACAATTACAGGAAAACCAAGATATTCCTTAAAACTTATAAAAACTGAAAAGGCAAAAAAAGACTGAAGGAAATCTAATTTTAGACATAAAGTTTGAAAAAACATATTGGCACTTTGGGTATGTCTATACTACAGTGTTATTTCGAAATATCTTATTTTGAAATAACGCGTCTACACACAAAATGCATTTCGAAATAGCATTTTGCTATTTTGAAATAGTGCATCTACACTCTGTGGACTCTGAATCGCATTTAAGGCTGGTCGGAACCAGTTCCGGCAGGGCACCAGGTCAGGACTTACTGTGTGGGGCTTCTGCCTGAGGCTATCTGAGGTTTGTGCTTAAAGGGATCCCCTGGGCAGCCAGTTCTCAGGTTTCCCTACTTGCTTGTCTATCTCACTGGGGGACGGCAAAGCATTTTGTCTCTGCATGCTCTGGTTGCCCTCACTCAGGACACCACATCACTCTGCAACATGGAGCCAGAGCGGCTCCTGGGCACTCTGGTGCGTCTCTTGGACACGTTGCTGCGAGCCTGGCTGCACTTTCTGCACACTGCCATCGGGGGGCTGTCAGGATCCAGGAGGCCCTGCAGGAGAGTTTCCACCCTGAGGAGCACTAAGAGCCTCCCTGGTCTGCTCCACTGGAAGCTTGTGTCTCATTCCTCCCTCACGTCCTTCCACTCACCTGTCTCTAAACCCCCTTCCTGATGTCAAATAAAATACACGTATTTTCATGAACACAAACTCTCTTTATTTAACAAAACTGGGGGAGGGGGAAGGGAATGAAACTCTGGTGAGACTGAGGAAAGCAGGTGGGAGAGGGGAGAAGAGAGGGTGAGAGGGGAGGGGGAAACTTGGGAGGAGGGAGCTGGAAGGGGGAAGCAAGGGGAAGAAGGGGAGGGGAAGCTCAGGGCTCACAGGTGGGGGTCTCACCAAACCAACTTGATTTGCATGCGAACCTGCTTCTGGGTTCACATGTGGCCTTTGGTGGCCAGGCTGGTAGCTATCCTGCCCTAGACCGGTGCGGT